TATTTTGTCATATCTTGCCCTGTCCGACGTCTTCCTTCACCCACTTTTCGGTTGTCTGTCCCCCAGGGAGGAGGTCACATATAGTTCTTTGTAATTGGTTCCCTCTTTCCTACCCCCTCTCCCTCTACCCTCCCTGTTTCGCCACTCACACCATCCCAGGTGAATTTTTTATGGGAATAGAAAGCCTCATCTTTTCCCAACAAGTAGCAGGTGGTTTCAAACTTCGGACATTATGGCTAGCAGCCTAACACAGAGCCGACTATGCCACCAGGGCTCCTTGAATGCCCCAGAGATGAAATGGAATCTGTGGAGGGAAAACCTCTCATGATTGTGACCTCTAAACACATGCCCAAATATCTCCCAGATGTTCCTCAAGGGATGGAAACGTCCCTGGTTCAAATCCTCTTAACAACGCTTTAGGGCTACATCAGACCCTATTTAAAACAGCCAACTGCTGTGGATTCTAACACTTCAGCCTTTGGTCCTGCAAAGTACCTCGGAGAGCTAGCCTAACACCACCATTTCATAAGTAAGGAAGGAAACCCCAAGAGATCCTGGGTCCTGGCTCAGTTCCGTGTTTGTGAGACTGGCAGAGCCAGCCTGTTCCCTTGTGTTCAGGGCTCAGGCTCCGCTCCACACCTATTGCGGACTGAATTGTGTCCCAGGAAATAAGTGTTGTAAATCAAACCCCTGTCCTGGTTAAAATCCCACTTGAAGATGGGTTTTCTTTGTTATGTTAATGAGATAGTATTAATACAGGGTCTTAATAGTATTAATACAGAGATTAAAGGAGCAATAGCATTAATACAGAGATTAACACAGAGATTAAAGCACACCCCACATGAAGGTCACCAAGGAGCCAGGAATAGAAGCTTCAGAGACAAGCTGCCCCAGGGCTAACAGAGAGACAGACTTCCTAGGCAACATCAGATCAAGGAAATACATGAGTCTATAAAAGCCACCCACTGGTGTTATTTCTGTGTTGTGGTACTAGATCACAAAAAAACACCCCAAAAAGAAAATGATGATAAAGAATGTGCCCACCCCCGTTTCTGTTAAAGCAAAATTGCCAAGGCCCAGCAGGATAAGACTCTTTAAGAAGTGGATAAAATTCATCCACAATAGTTCTTTGTTCTGGTCATTGTTTCCAAACAAAGTCTCTGAAGTTACTGTCCATCAGCCACTGGGAGTCTGACCCGTGGGTTCTTAAGACCTTGTAGGTAAGCAGAAAGCAAGCCCTTTTTTAAACCTACGAATTATATCTAGTTGCATCATGGACATGAATTGTTCTAGGTGTTCTGAAGGAGCTTTGGGTTAGGGCATCAAGCTACTGACCGCTAGGTGGAAAGTTCAAACCCACCAGCCTCTCCAAGACGGAAAACGAGGCTATCTGCTCCTGCAAAGGTCTATTGTCTCAGACACCCCGTCGTCGAGGGGCCCTGTGAGTCAAAATGAACTCCGCGACAGTGAGTTTGTGGTTGTTGTTGGTTTGCCAGACTTCTTATGTTTAAAA